CAGGGAAAAAAAATATTTGCTAATAAAAAACACGTTCTGTCAAAAAATGGCCCTTTTCTCAAAATCGAAAATTCTGCCAATTGTTTTTTTATATTTTTCTCGATTTTTTTCTGACAAAAACCTTTTTTTCATTTTGCAGAGGGGTTCCTCTTTTGCCCTCTTTTTTCTTTCCCCTCCTTTTTTTTCAGCGGCAAAATAGGGAAAAGGGGGGGGAAAGGAGGAAAGTGCCCCCAGGGAAAGGAGAAAACAAAAAACATTTAAAAAAAAAATATCGCGTTCTAAATCCATCCTTTTCACAAACCTGAAAATGAAAACAGCTTTGAAATTTTTAACCTTTTGGGGGGTTCTCCCCCACCCCCTCATTTTCCACCCAGCTCTAGGTTACATCACGTCGTCCAGCTCAGAAACAGTGCATCGGGATACAGTTTGAGCCACAAACAAGAATCAGTCGGATACGTCTCCTCCGTGACGCCTTTTATTCACATAACGAAATCCGCCACAGAATTCTGCCCAATGACCAGTCTCGGATGGTGACCAGGCCCCACTTAACAGGGATATAAGCAAGTCAAGATGAAGGTGCATAGGCTGTCCAGAAGTTTACACGCTTGGTGGCCTTTAGCCAATCTGGATAGTTTCTTATTCTCCCCAGCACTTTGTTCTCTACCACATTCCTTTCCTTCAAAACAAAACCCTGACTTTTTTTGTGTGTAACCCTGCCTGACACTTTTGCTTATTTTGATTCTACAGTTTCTTGGACAGCCAATACTAAAGCCACATCCTGAGCAACTGCAACTGTCCCTGGCTGAACAGCTCCGATGGGAAGACGGACTTTATGAACATTGAGACCAAACGAACTGAGCCACTCGGCGACCTCTGGTTGGGAAACAGGCCTTGGATTCAACAAAAAACTCAGTTTTAACTGCTTCTTTCCTCCAAGAGCCTGACGCTCAAGTGTGATTTTCCTAAATGCACCTGTTCCACAAAACCAGGTACAGCTAACTAGTCACAGTAGATTTTTTTTCTATCTGTCCATGAATCCATGAAAATAAAAGCAGGTACAAAAGTTATTGGTTTGTAATGTTCAGACATAGCCCAAGCAAACAAAAACAGAGATTAGTTTCGCATCTGTATTTCTCTTATCAAACTCTGTCTGTCTTGGTATTTATAAAGTCCTAGGTCAGCCTAGTGCCAGAGCATAACCCAACTAACACAAAGCATACCATCAGCCTGAATGTCTGTCATCTCGTCCCACCAGCCCTGCTCTGCGAGCATGCGCGATCTTCTTGTTTTTCTCTTTCCAAGGAGCTAGCACAGCATGGCTGATGTAAAAGGCTGAGTCCAAAAGTAGAAATGTCCCTGGCCATTTCATATCTTGTAGAAGGGAAATCTGTAGCCCACTACCAAGAAGGCCCATGTGTACCAAGAGATATTTGGGAGTTTTCACTCCGGAGAATTGTCCACTCCAGTGTCTCTGAGCAGCATAGCCATCTTGGTAAGGCAGTCATGGGAAGAGAGGCAGTTACGGAGATATTAGTCATTGGAAGGCTTTTGGAAGGCAAGTTCAGGGCCTGGTATTACCTGGGGAGACAGTGCAGGGTGGAGCATTAAGAGGGGGCGTTCTCAGAACCCCACGGCGGTTAGAAGATGCACTGGCGACACACAGTGCACTAACTGGAGTTGCTTCATGGCATTCGCTGGTACGTAGATAGGTACATTCGATTATAATCTTTAATAGGCCAGCTCCGCCCTCATTTACATCGATGACATCGGCAGCGTTACCCGGCAGGCAGAACGTGGCCAGAAATCTTTACTTATTGATCCTCTTTAGGCCAAACTGAGCCCCAAGGAGTCTTCAGTGGGACTGCATAGTACCCAAGACCTGATTTTGGCCCTTTACCAGTATGTGTTCTCTGTGATCATCCAACTAAGAGCCCTACGGTTTGCAGGGAATACAGGAACTGCACAAACATTATTTCCGTAATTCACCCTCTGATTACAACTGCCAGCTTCCCCCGCTGTCCCTCTAGTATTTCCAAAACAGTCTCATGCTCAACAAAGTCAACATCCAGTCACTTCTCCCTGTTCCTTACCAAGCAGACTCCACAGAGCTGCAGACAACCCCTGTCCCAGCAAGACATTCTGATTTCGCTGGGAAGGACTCAGCCGATATTCCAAGGGGTTCCTCTCTCTTTCTTGAGCTCTGCCCTCTGTGACCAAACATGAACCCTCATCTCCCCAGTCTGAGCCTGGTGCCCTATACACAAACCAAACTTTTACAAAGGTGGAAAATGTCCCTGGGTAAAGCCTGGGAATTGTTCATACCCGCAAGTCATTAACTAACACTGAGCTCCCGTTTCAGACAGCTCCTGAAAGTGGACGAATCTTTTAATAAACAGTCACGGTTTGCTTTTATTTCCCCCTCTTTGCTGTAAGCGAATGGGTTTAGCTAGCATTGTTGATCTCCTCTGAATGCTTCACGAGACAGACAAGCTCCTGATGGGCTGAAGTGTGTGTTGCAAATTTCTACAGCAGAGAATCAGGCCCTGCCCCCACCATCTATAAATGAGTTTATAAATCAGCTTTTTTTCCATTTGCATCAGGGTAAAAATCCTTAGACAAGTCATCAGCCTGGTCCCACATGTTCTCCCCCACTTAAGATCAAATTTCTAATAATGGTACATTTTGTTTAGGGCATATAGCACCCGGCTATCAAAATATCTCAGGTACGATAGAAAAACACAAGTATCGATTTAGGAAGTCAGTAGAGGTTTTTGCCTTTGTCTTCAATGCGAGCACCTAGGTGGCTCCCAACATGACGGGTAAATAACATACAAAGCTGCAAATAAAACGAAGGCATTTGTTGGGGGAAGGCAGAGAGATAGCATCACAGCACTCGGCAGAACATGCTTTTGTAATGATTTCAGATGCTTTGGTTTGAGCCACCCAAAATAACAGTAATAAAAAACGAAATCTGTTTGACTGAAAATAAAAGATGTTACGGGTGTCAAGCTGCAAAGGAGATATTTCCACTTGGAACAGCCACTTGGGCACTTCGGGGGCATTTTTATCTCCCATCAAAATCAATTGCATGTGGCAATAAAACCACACTGATTTTTAGGACCGTATCAGGTCCAAAGGACCGGACATGGAGCGCAGGGGCTGAGGCTTCTCCAGCTGAATGACTGCTGGCGCATGGGCGAATGGAAGGCGCCGGGTTTGTTGTTGTTTATTCTGCCCTAAAAAAAGAGGTTCATGTTAATTAAAACGGTGACTCTTTTTAAAAGGATCCTTGTGCTGATATGACCCAAGAGCGTTGAGGGTAGCACCTTGCTCTGCATCATGCTTGTGTCATATGTGTGACCAGCCCTAGTGCCCCACTCATACAACCTGGGGGTAAAAAGGGGAGATGGAATTTAGGGCCTGATCGTGGAGTTTTGCCATTGAGCTCAGTGAGAGCAGAATTGGGCCCACGGTCTGAGCTGTGAATTCCCTGTTTCTGTAGCTCAGAGTTATTCTCCCAGAGGAGTTTGATATTAACTTTTTTTTAAACGCTGACCTGTAGAATAAGTGCAAAGCCACGGCACTTTTCTGAAATCGAGACCCGAGGAAGCTTTTACTCTTACGAGCCAAGACTTGACTCCCTTGCTGAAACGTTGGCAAAATCCAGCTGGAAATAAATTTAAAACACAATAAAACAAAACCAGCGAACCATCGGGTGAGACGCATTTTTTTCTGAAAAAAGGACAACGCAACTGAAATACATCTTTTGGGTCAGCACTTGATTGTCAATGTACAACAGGCAGGCACCTTTAACCCCAGCAATTACATTTATCTCTGCCAGTCTGCACACTGCAAATGCCTACGGAGGAAGGGGAGGAGAGGGGCGGAAAAGAAAAAAAAGGGAGGATGAAACAAACAAACAAACAAGTAAATAAAGAAAAAAAAGACTTTGCGACATGTCAAACAGGGCTCCAGAAATAAGCCTGTTGTGCAAAACAAAACAAACCAGTGTCTGGAGTGGGGAGGAGCGCCCCTCAAAATAGCACTGAACACCCAGTTTTCACTCCAAACCTGCTTTGTCTTTGAAAACGGACAAGGCTGAAGGAGCTGGTTTCTATGCCCCAAACCTGCGATCGGAGTCTTAGGAACCACTTTTAAGGCAAACTTTAGTTGTTGTTGTTCTGCTCTGCTACACCTTAGCTGGTCCCACGTTTGAAAATAGCGCTTGCGACTGTCACTTTCCTTCGCAGATCTCTCTCTCTCTCTCTCGCTATTTTGCTCCCTAAAAAATGTCTCCAGATTGTCCCATCTCCCCTCTCTTCCTCCCCCTCTTCCCCTGGCCCCACGCCAGCAATGCCAATCCCGTGCCCTCTCCCAAACACTCGGGACACGAAGCAACACACATTTCCAACCCTGGTCACAGCACTTTTTAAAACCAAACCAAAAAAAATCAACTCCCCCTTCCTGAGCTGTAGTTTAATCTGTGGTTTCCATCTGCAAAACACAATGCAGCTCACTCGACACGTTGTCTTACCCAGAAAAGGCAGGGGAGGGGAGAGCGGTTTGAAGGGGTGAGGGGAAAAAAAAACCCCAGACACTCATCTACTAAAATTGTTCCTTGCAAAGAGGGACAAACCAACTAAACAAGGATCGAGGCTTCCTAGGGCAGTCGGCGAAACTGACAACAACTCTCCACGCTGCAGCGATCACCCCAAATGCCTCCCCTGCCCATGCATTAAACAAGCTTTCTCCAGCCAGCCTGCCTCCCTGCAATCGCGTGTGGAAAAGGGGGCATGGGAGGGAGGGGGGTGTCCCGGATCAAACGATCAGCGCTGCGATAAAGCCACTTTTTTCATACCCCCCCATTCCCTCCCTCCAGTTCGCCGATCGTCTCTCCTGTCCACACTCCCCCCCCACCCCCAAACCCCTGGCGATCTGGAGCATTTCAAGCCGAATACATTGCGCCGTATGGCCAGAAGAAGCCTTTGCAACAAACTCACCCAGTGGCAGGAAATGTTTGGTGTCCATATCGGGTGTTTAACTCATGCCAAAACGATTTGTGAAGATCGGTGGAGGCAAAACACACACACGCGCGCAGAAATCAAAGCAAAAGAGAGCGGGGGGGAACGGGGGGAGCAGGCAAAAAAAAATCAAAGACTGCAGCTTTGCCTTGCTTTAAAAATCCGCAGCAGCAGAAGGCACCCCGCACGGGAGCGGGGGGAATAGGAAATCCAGTCCAAGTGTGTGTGAGCCCAAGGCAGGGGGAGTTGTTTCAAACTCACCCAACAATGTAACTAAAGTACTTGTGTCTCTGTGTTTCTCTATTCCAACTACAGGAGCTGCAATGCAAAGGGGACCCCGCCAAGGGGGAGCGGGAGGGCCAACCTGGTAGCAGCGACGGCGCTGCCAGCTGGGAGCCTGCAACCGACCAATTTTAAGGGTTGGCGGCTGTGGGCTTCGATCCTCAACTCGTTTTCTGGAGGGCGGGGTGGGGGCTTTCAGAGGGGGCTGCTTGATGGTCAGAAGAACAACAGCCGTAGGTTGTCTCAGGCCTGCAGATGTTAATTTAACAAAGCTGCAGGGTTTAAAGAAGACTATTAATGGGGAACGCTGGCAATGTGCCAACTCATAGGTACATTTATTGGAGGAGGAGGAGGATAAAGGACCTGCTCTGTTGTGTAAATGCTGCTCGGTAAAGCCCTTGCTGGAGTGATTCCCTTCCGTACTTTTATGGGGCTTTTCATCTGGGTTAGTAAGGCTGGACCCAGTCCTGAAACTTGAGTTTGTACAGGTCAGTAGCTAGCGAGGTGATTGAATAGAGCCAATTAAATCAATGGGATTACTTCTGTGAGTAAAGGATGCAAGACGGGGCCCTTTAGGCTGAGATTTTCAAAACTGCCTAAGGAATTAATGTTGATGGGAGGTTGGAGTGTTTGTATTCCAGAGGCAGCTTTGAAAATCTCTCGGCCTTATAAAGAAAATTGGAGGGTGGATAAATAGGCTAGAACTGCTGGTCAGTCTGTCTATCAGTTGTTTAAATGATCAGTCGATCTACCATAGATACACACGCGCGCACATGATAAACCAGGTTTAAGTAGCTGACACAAGTCACAAAGTGCAAACTTAAGGAAGACACAAACAAGCTCCTTCCCCTCTGGAAAGAGCAAAGTGTTAGTTCTGACTCCAGGTAGCTCTTCCCTTTCTCAGGTTGTCTCCTAGACTTTACGGTCAGAACAGGGACCATCATAATCATCTAGTCTGACCCTCCTGCTACTTAAACATGCTTTATTTCCTTTCCTGAGATACAAGTCAATAGCTAATGATAGGTGTGCAGCTTATCTGAGAGCTCACATGCCCGCCTGTCACCACTCCAGCCTCTCGGGTGCAAACCTACCTCGGCCTTCTTCTGTTTTTAACTGTCTGTGCTACATACCAATATATCGGGGTGTTTCCAGCTTTAATAAATGGTGTTCAGCCTGTTAAGAACGTGTATCAGTAACTTGATGGACCGGAACAACTTGACTGTGTGCAAAGCATATTAAGCATCATATCGACCCGCACTCTCCGGACGACCACAATGTGCCTAACACGCAGGTTTGTTCCATGGGATGGAGTTGCTGGGGTAGGGTGTATGAACTCAGGTGTCTGGCCCTGCATTTGGGAGACAAATCATTTACAAGAGCAAGTAGGAGAACGCCAGGGGATCCCAACCTGGCAACCCGTTCTCATCTGCGTGATCCCGTTGAAGGAGACTCATGTGAACAAGGACTATGAGTGTGGGAGGCATTGAGGATCAGGCCTGGAGTTTTTGAGGGGATGGAATGAAATTTTAAGTCTAAAATGAGGAAAGGTTGCAAATGTATGCGAGGATTGCTGCTGCCCTGGCATGTCTGTCTGTCTATCTTCTGCCCATCATTGTGGTATTTGAGCCCCTGTAGACAAGGATAGAGAAAGGTTACGGTAATTTACTATGCTAACAACTCCTCCTGCAGCCTCTTTAGTGTTTCTGTGTAAGGGGACAAGCACCTACCCTGGTCCCTTCTACCCAGAGGGCAGGAGGGTTGTGATCACACCAAAGGGGCAAACTGCTGCTAATCCCCAGGATCCCTATGTGGACCAGCTCTGGGACCGTGAACAGAATGGGGCCTCCCTCTCTGCCCCTTGCACAGCTCGCGATAGCAATACATTACAACAAGAATGAAAAATGCCAGCAGGACCCGTTCTGTGTCAGCGGCAAGCGGCTGCAGCCTGGCACTCGTTGGGAGCTGTAGAAGTAAAAACAAAATAAAGCAGCGCACTCCTTTTTATCCTTTGCTCCTGTAATTTAAGCATGTCCAAACAGATTGGTGTGTGTGCGTTTATAACTGGTAACATCATTTGCTCCCGGGCTGGGACCTTGCATGTCAAGTTTCATCTCCCAGTCAATTTTTATGGCTGAGTTTGTTATATGAACTCCTGGGGGGAAATAATAACAAATGGGAGTGGGCTTGTTTGAGGGGAGCAGGTCCAGCCTTTCTAACTACGGTGCAGCTGTGTGAAAGTCAGAGATTTAATACATGTGTGTGACACCCAACAATGCAAGGGCAGAGATCAACTTCACCGAATCCGAAGTCAACTATAATCAATTGTGTCTGAACGCACTCATCTAAAAAGGGCTGAACTCGTTTATAGGGGCAGTGAGCCTCCGGCTCGCCGCGAAATGAGCGACGTAAAGGCGCGCGCGTGTGTAGATCAATATATCCCAATTCTGCGCTCGTCAACACCTCTGCAAACTCTATTCAAGTCACTGGGGTCACATCAGTGTAAGTGAAAGGAAAAATTGGCCCATTATGAATCTGTGTATGTTTATATAGGAAGATTGGTAGATAATAATGGGTTACACTGTCAGTTGGTGTATACAGACTACACCCCTATGAGACACTAGCTGGGGATCTGGCTTGGCCTGCCATCCCACAGCAGGTTAAAGCTGATACACACAACGACACAGTAGCCACTGCTGGAAACAGACCTTTGTAGACTATAAAACATGAAATTTTCATATCTAGTATGTTTCTCCTAGCAAGTGGTGTGGAGTAAATTACATTTTTCCCCAACCAGCCCAAAAGAGCCGGTGTTCAGTGCAATCCGAATGTTAATTGTAGTGGCAATAGGGTCTGATCCTGCAGTCCTTATTCCAGTGATACTGCCAATGGGAATATTGCCCTGAAGAAGGCTGCCAGACAAGGTCCCATATTTGCAGTCTCCATGAGATGCCGGAAAGTGGCAAGGATATTTCTACGCTGTTACAAACCATTTTCCCCCCCCAATGAATTTTAATGTGCTTTAATAACCGGCATCAGGCTGCTCTGTGCTACATTGAGCTCTGGCCTGGCACTTTTTAGTAAAGACTTGAATAATTTAAAAAATGATCCATTTTCAGGGCCTTTGGCTTGTACGTCTGTTTGGCACTGGACTTCTTGGAGTTCCGACGCTGTCCTGCAAAACACCTTCCGTGCCTCTTGGTCTCTCTGTTCATTCTTGGTTGTCTCCCCGATGCCTTGAATTTATTTTTAATTTCACAGTTAGGGACAGCATGAATCACACCCCACAGCTCTTGTTGGTGCAGGATAACAGCACCTTTGCTCATGTTTGGGGACTTCTTGTTTCTCACATAACAGTGGGAAATGGATTCCCATGCTGTGGCTGGCTCTTGCTATAAAATCTAGCAGTGGCTGAGACTCAGCTGAGTAAAGGCAGCCCTACCCAGCACAAACTCCAACTTGAATGGGAATTGGGTGTTTAAATCCTTTTGGTGGCTTTGAAAATTGCAGTCTTGATTATTTTTCCTAGCGGGATTTATTTATTTGATCTCATCTGCAACTCAGAGTTGCAGTGGTTTCCTGCTGTTCCATGTTTTCCCACATAAAGAGCAAAAAGCAGGTAGTTTCCACTCTAGATTACTTTTATAGCAGATTAAGGAAAACAGCAAACAAAGAAAGAACAAATATAAGGTCTCCATGAGAGATAACCCTATGTATATTATGGAAATTTGCCTGGCTATAACTACCTCACTGTGGTTGTACTGATCTAACTGACAGGTTTCAGAGTAGCAGCCGTGTTAGTCTGTATTCGCAAAAAGAACAGGAGTACTTGTGGCACCTTAGAGATTAACACATTTATTTGAGCATAAGCTTTTGTGGGCTACAGCCCACTTCTTAGGATGCATGTAGCGCCACGAAAGCTTATGCTCAAATAAAATTGTTAGTCTCTAAGGTGCCACAAGTACTCTTGATCTAACTGAGATGGTAGAAATGTCTTAATGCCTTTAGTGTACATGGTAGTTCAGTGTCTGAAAGCTGTCATGCTGTTTTCCCCTTTGTCACACAGGTGCGGATTTCCTCACCTAGGCAACCCCTAATGCATTGCATCTGAAATGGACACACAGTGCAGCAGACAGGGAGACAGCTCTACACTGAAAGGTGTGATGAGGAGAAAGCAGAATGACACCTTTAATACAGGCCTACCGTGCTTGCTAAACCCATCACGGTTCGACTCTGATCCTCAATCAGACCAGTTCATCCCCCATGAAAGTCAATGGGGTTGCACCGTCTTGCAGTCAGAATCTGGTTCATTGCCTTTAAAACTGGACACTGGTAGTAAGGGTCCCCTATTACCCCCCACCCCACCTCCACCTGCCGCCAGCCCCTGTCCTTTGTAGTGTTACTGTTTTGCCCAGGAAAACAAGATACTTAGAAACTGTTCCATTTGCCTTTCAAGCACTCGTAATCCTAAAGCTTCTTGACCATCTCACATCCCTTCTGACCTTTGGATTTTACTAGCAGATCCCAAATAGCAAACGAAATGCACATCCCTCAGCCCAGTATTCTACTTCCCTCGTTCCAAACACATGCAGATTAAATAAATACAGAGCATGGGGCGAGGCAGGACCTGGGTGAACAGCCTGAAAAACCTGTTTTCCCTCCCACTCTTCTTCTGTCTTATCTCTCTAGATTGTAAGCTCTTTGGGGCATGGCTGTCTCTCGCTTTGTGTCTGCACAGTTCCCAGTAGAGTCTCCAGATCTCAGCTGGGATCTCCAGGCACTCCCTTAATACAAAGAATCAACAGTAATGATCAAACCTGTTGAGTCCAGTTGCTGATTCCTACAAGACACATTGCAAATGCAAACCAAAACAATCTTAAGAGTATTTCCAAAAGCATTGTAGATTCAAAGTTATCAGTTTATTTTTCCCAGAAGCATTTAACAGGCAGATGATGTTTGTTTGTAAAGTGAAATTTACATGATATATTTGATCTTTGATCCTGGAAACCACATTCCCACAATGAAGTTAGGCAAAAAGACTCTGCACCCTACTCT